CTCAATTCCCAGTCTGGAATATCCTCTACTGTCAGAGGTGGTGGAGTGTCACTGTTTTTATCATTTGACAGATAAAACTTTATTCCTGGAGAAATCCCATGCAGTCCTGGACCACCATGGAGAATGGAATGGCCTATCATCCTGCCCATGGCTTTATAAGCCCCTGTCAATCTGAGGGAGTGATCATGTGTGGGAACGCRATGCTCACTCTCTCCCTCTATAAACATCAGCGGTTTTCCGGAACTTGAGGGAATCCCTTCATCTAAGGCTCTCATGGTTTCTGTGAAAAACTCTCGAATAGGGCCACTTCCCACTCCTTCTTCCTCCTCAAATCGGATTCTTGGCATAAGTTTCAAATTTGTTCTGGGATTTTTATAGATTCCCATTATTTCTTTTCTTAGTTCAGTGACCCCATCTACTCTGCATACTGTGATTATTTGTTTGGATGGGGCATTCTCGATTACATGGGACTGTAACAATYGTAGTGCAGTCTCAGGGGATTCATCAGTACTGTGGTTTTCAAAAGCAGGTTTCATCAACTCACTGTCACTTTCACTGGCATGGTTATCACCAACAGAATCATCATCTATTGTTATACATGTAGATGGCATACTGTATATTCCTGAGAAAGACAATATCGTAGGTCTATACATTACTATTATATCAATATAATGTATACTATTTAACAATTAGTCCTCGAGTCCGGATGGTCTACGAGTCAATAGCCCATGAGGCCGAAGGCCGAATGTGCTATTGATTCATAGACCAAGAGGGGAAGAGGTCTAATTGTTTTAGTAAAAACCTAGTGATYGGTCCAATAAAGGGTGCTCTCAAAATCGACTTTTTTCGCTACTAGAGGTCTATCACTAATAGACCACTAGTAGCTCAGCCAATCAGAGGGCCAGATTGGTGATAGACCATAAGTAGGTTTTTACTAAACTAATATAGTATAATAATATAGAGGATAATTATAGCATAATAATATAGARGATATTGAATGGTGAAGCAAACATATCGAAGTTTATCTTCGAGTGGTGGAAAAGATTTCACAAGTGGGCACTAGTCAGGTAGTTCAAGGACAAATATTGGCCAAATCATTAAAGGCCTATCAGAGCTGAGGAAAGCACAAACTTTGTCACATATGTTGACTTTGGTGTAACATGACATTTGCTCAAAACATTCTTAATTACTGAGTTATCATACAAGAGGCTTGGGCTTGGGTATGGCTTGGGCTTGGGTATGGCTTGGGCTTGGGTATGGCTTGGGCTTGGGTATGGCTTGGGCTTGGGTATGGCTTGGGCTTGGGTATGGCTTGGGTAGATGGGTGTCTACCCAAGCCATATATTCTCTGTAAAAAATTGACATTTTTGAGGGCTGATAACTCTGGTACCTTTTAACAAAACACGTTCAAACTTGCCAGATTTACTAATCTAGAGATGCTTTATCAGATGAGAAAACTTTTTTGCTAATTACATTAAAATTCAAAACTCKCCCGAGTCCCTTGCTCGTTTTTGTAGTGGCCAACTGCTACTTACCTAACAATCTTCCAACTGCTTCATTTGTATTGCCATTAGAATCATCCAAAGCCCCTTGAATTTCAATATCAGTGGCATCTGGGCATATCTCCTTAATCATGATTGTATCTTGGAGGCCACTGGTACTGGGTACTGGTGCTGGTTCAATGCCAGATTGTGGAATAATTCTGGAATTAGTAATGAAATAAAATGAAATATGCATATATATGTCAATTTATGCTGTTTCATCAGTAGTTCAAATGGCAGTGTTATACATTTTGTATAATTTACCTCTTATTAGTAGGTACTGCAATGGAATCTAATGTCTTCTGCTTCTGCAAAAATTAATAGAAAAACATAAATTGTTTGTAAAAAACTGAGAGCTCTAAATGCATCAAAGTTAATAAAGTGAATTATCATAACTGCAAAAGCCAAGAACATAATTACATAAAAAATAAGGGTATCTGAGCTAGTGCATGTGTCAAATTATATTTATATATCATATATTATTATTATATACACCTATTTCAAAAAACGTTGTCACAATGATCAAGCCTAGACTGCAGAGAGTGCTGGTAATTTAAAATTTYATTAATTCAATGCTGTGGAAGCAAGTCTACCTCTACACCTATTATCAAAAGCAGCAGCCATGCGTTGAGCAATTTTTGAGGATGACTGATGAAAATGCACCATAAATACAATAATTATGATTAAATGTAATGGTGTTCTCTTTGAAATAGGYGTATATTTGATCAAGTATGGGAATGGGGATAAATTTTTTTCAGAATAAACAATATAGGCTGGCTGAAAGGTTTATATATGCAATAATTATAGTGCTGGCATTATTTAAAACTACATGATATGTTTTTATGATATGTGTCCCATGCCTTTTCTGGTGGTGTGTTGATTGCTGGAAACTCATGGGTTTCTTGATGAGCTGACATTTCATTCATGCGAATTGCTTTTCCACATACAAAACAATCAACAACTGGGATGGCAGCTTCAGATTCCTGTTATAATAAAAACACATTTTGTTATAGCCATTTCAATGTATGACAATGGGTACAAGCACRAAAAACAAATAGCAAAAACTAACCCATCAAGACAGACAAGAAAATAGCACATTATGACCTTCCATTAATTCCTAAATTACAGAGGAATACACTTGGCATCCGCAACCCATTAAGTATAAAATTACAGTAGTACTTAATCAGGTTCCTTGTTTTCACTTTAAAAAATGTATAATTTCATGGGTGTGGCTCTTATTGTCATAAAATCAAAATTATCAGATAACCTTTGTTTTGTTTTTCATAAATAAATGACTTACTTCAGTCTGATCCAGCTGTGATTCTGTCTGCAATGTTTGATGTTGCTCAATATCCCTTTGCAGAGGTCTTATGTATATCTTTGCTTGACCTGCCAGTTGTTTGATTCTAGTTGATATATGGGGTGGGTTGATTACATGAAAACCCCCATCTTCACCTCCTCCTCTCTGAAAAAGATATAGTTCAAATCCCCCTGCCATGCTCAATGCAGGGTATTTTAAGAGAATATTCTGATACACATGTTCATGTGCACCAAAAGTTATTGAGCCATCTCCTAGCCCCATGTTGGAGAGGTGGGTCCTGKCCTTAATGGAAGAAGGAGGACTTGAGGCAGTCTTGGAGGCAAGGCACACGAATTTAAGGGTGCATGTGGACTCATTTTTGCCTTTTCCTTTTCCTTTTCCATTTTTGTTAGTATACTGTTTTTTGGAAGCATATCCAAACAACCTTCGTTGTTCTACCACAGCGGAGTTTGGAACTGAAGATGAACTTGTAGAAGAAGCACGGGTAGATATACTTGTAGATACAGTTGTAGAGGCTTGTGCACCATCTGAGAAGTTTGACACATGATTATTAACTAAGAAAACCAAGAAAACCTAAAAAAGTTTTGGAATGTTTATYTGATAAATGTGAAAAGACTTTGACAACAGCACTATTTAACGTATAGGATCATATAACTTAGAACTACAGAAAAATATAGAATACATAAAAAGGATCTCACTAAAAATGCCGGTTTTTTCGAAATATATATAGTTTCTTAACTTATCAAAATAGCAATACCACTTCTAGAATGACAGTTTGTAAGCTTAAATAATTGCAGCGCTAGCTGCATTCAAGTGAAATCAGTGGCGGCCAAACTTGTAGCTGGAAATGACCGAAATGGTAGAAAAATCAACTGCAGGAATTTTATGCGAGTACATCACAGACTATAAAATCTCCCATAACAGCTAAATAATACCTCTTGACTCTAGACTATTGTCATGTAATACCACGGATCAAAGTGCACGCGCTGACCAGTCAGTCAAGTCAGTCCACACGCAAAGCCTATACATAATACTACCACATACTCTATTTCCTTTTTTTTAGATTATTACCTTTTGGTCRGGTTATTATAGATAATTTTGATATGAATATTAAAATATCTTTAGCTTGAAGCTGAACTCATTCCTTGGAACTCATGTACGTGTGCGGCATTGTGCGTCATGTGGACCYGTCATGTGTGAAATTCCAAAAAAAAAACAATAGGAAAATCTTTCTTATTTTATACAAACTACTATTTAATCTTACCTTGTGGAACACCTCCTCTTTGCAATGCCGAAAGTCGATCGGCCACCTTTAACAGGGCCGACCTCACCTCATTTAACTCCTCACTCATAGTCGCCAGAACAAAATCCCGAAAATCCACGTGAGCATGAGGAGCTTAGCTTAGTTCGAGAAAGCGTCACCCCGTTGTGTTGGTACAAATAATGTCCCTACTAAAACAAAGAACTATGAAACCTGAGCATTTGAGTTGGTTAGATGTCTATTTATTTAATCCAA